CCTCTGTGCCAAAGTACAGCCTCACAGAGCTGCTAGCATTACGCTAGACTTCTGAAATTTGTACAAAGCTTATTTTCCAACATTGCCACCACTTGCCAACAGATTGAAACTACATTGCTGTAGTTTGAAAGACAAACAACATACGTTCCATCTGTTCAAAGGGCTTTTCTCCCCCAAAATGTCCCTTATTTCGGGTGACTCGTCCTCATATCTCTGAAGAGACATCCTGTACAATTAATATTCATTCTGCTGCTGGAGTGCATTGTTGTCATACCACCACTGACAGATGTGCATTCATTAAACTCAAGACCACGGAGACACATTGTATGCCACTGTGGTGGTTTTAATAATTAATCCAACTTAATTTACACCTGAATTTATTTATACTATCATTTATTTATACCGTTTATTCTCAGCTGAGGGGTGAATTTGGTCTCTTGGTGGGTGGAGCAGCAGATAGCATCCTATCAAATTAATTTTAATAATAGAAGGCTCTCATTAAGACCCAATCAGACATGAAGACAGTCTGAGTGGAATGGGTTGCCAGGAATTGACCACAGAGTCATACATTATTGACACGGAAATCGTTCTTATTAGATCAGCAGGTTTCAGCTCTGTGAATATGTGGCCGTCTGTCTCTCATTCTTTCACAAGCACACACACACACACAAACACGATTAAATGCATCTGATTCGTACACTGAGAATATTACCTGAATTGATCACTCCCAAACTAATTTTCATAGCATAACAGCTGCAGACAAGTGAGGCCATTGAGGTTGAAAATTGGATTATTCTTTATGGCGCTTTCTATTTGCACAATTTAGCATGAAATGTGCGGTGCTAGCTAACGGTACAGATTAGGGGCCTCAATCAAAGGAAAAGCATTGCCTCTAGCTAGGTGTTTATTGGCCAACAATTACTGTACATACTGTGGAGAGGTGCAGATATTGCAGAATCCTATCAGTGTAATGTAGATTATGTTATGAGTGTGCTTGAAAATTTATATCCAAACATGTTTGTTAGAGTGTGTTTGTATTTTGATGTTAAATTCTGCTTGTGTTGTCTTGACCAACACAGCCAATTGTCTTCACTTCTGTGAGCCTACATTGTGTGTGTGTGTGTGTGTGTGAGGGACATGATTGTGAGTCAATTACACCAATCACCCAGTCGCCCTCCTGCCAGTCCCAATCAGAATCTAACCAGAGTGATCACAGGTATCTTTGATCTTTTTGAGTTGACACAAATTCAAACCCAGCTTGGCACACTGGCTATAAATAAGCGATTACGGCTGTGTATCAAAGTGTTTGCGTGCATGGCTATTGTATTCAGACATATAGACAAACAAAGCTTATACACATTTAGGATTTTTATGTTTGCTGGACTGAATATTTGAAAAGCCATTAGTATATCACAAATCTACATTAACAATAATGTAAATATTGCATGTAAGGATGATTCATATGGGCACATTTAACATTGCTGTTATTATCACATTATCTCAATATCAGTATGTAATTATCTTTACTAACGTATTCAAAACCACATGGTAGAAACAGTTTATTCCATCTTCATTTGAATTATACTTCACCTAACATTTATTTAGACATGAGAACTGTTAGACATTGAAATCTCAATATGAGAATTTTGTCATAGTACAGTTTTATGGAGAGAAGTTAAAATCAAGCAAACTTAAGATATATCACCTCTTAAAAACATAAATAGAAAGTGCTTTACAGATGAAAGTGTGAAGTTGTAAAATAAAATAAAAAGCAATTGCAATTTTTAAATATTTGCACATTGAACCCACATCTTTCGTTTTATGTGTGATAGTAGGGAGTATTTGAAATAACTCCTATGTTTGCCAATGTCCTTTTTTACATACAGATAGACACATTTTGATTGTGGACACAAAACAGATTAAAACCACTTGTAAATTAGGGATTATGACTGTTCCTTTTTCCCGTCTGTCTGGATTTCCTCATCTCGCCCTCTCTGACACACTCACAGATGCATACAGAAACACTCTGGTCCCAGGAGACACTGGAGTGTGTTAAAGAAGGCATCACACGTTCATTCTTTCCCTGCCTAAATCTGGGCAGGGCCGGAATTCATCACAGGATCAAACCCGTTTCTCATCAAACCCAGGAAGGTGTAGCTAATGCAATTTCACTAAGTCACTGCCTGACTTGATTACATGTGGGCTGGGGAGCGCATGCTAAGGTTCCACAGGGGGCTGGATGGGTGTCACTGTCTGAGTGTGGGTGTGGGTGTGTGAACATATGGTATCTATGTAGTTTAGGTTGATTGATTCATTTCAGTACGCAAACAAGTGCGTGTCTATGTGCTTGTTGGGTGTTAAAAACTCATTCCACATCTGTACCTCTCTGTTAGTACCCCTTTAATCCATGGACGTTTCGTATGGATAGAAGTTGTGTGTCATGTCTGCTTAGGTGTGTGTGTGTGTTGCAGATGGAGCAGTAGTCCTCAAGGGGGATTTCAGGCAGATTTGGCCACATTAGAATGTGTCACTTCTTCCCTTCCAGCTTTCAGTTGCCGTCCCACTGAGCACCACACCTCCGCACACCCCTCCCACTAATCCTGGATCAGACCACACACCAAGGGACACAAATGCACAGACACTCATCCAAACAACACTAACAGATACTGAAGCACACACATGCAAAAACTCTCGCAAACAAAATGGCACTTTTACACATTATGTGGAAAGACGGCTGGCAGCAGTTTAGTGGCATCCTGACCTGAAACCGGAGCCACCCTGTCACGTCTAGACAACTCTGAAGAATCCTATGCATATTAATATCGTACTATTTAATATTCATCAGTGCTTTGCCCTGTTGGCAGCTGGTCCCAGACCCCATGGATCAATGAGGTCTCTTCCTCGCTCCTTTGTTTGACACGGATGCAGATGTTTAGAGCATGAAATTAAATTGGTCACTGTCATTGGGAATACATACATGGTAGTCAATTTGGTGTGTGTGCGTGTGTGTGTGTGTGTGTGTAGTTACCAGTTAGATGTGGCTCTCGGAGCAGGCAAGTAACGCTAACTTCCCCAGAGTCCGTGACATGTTGATGTTATTCATGGGAACTTGAGTGTTTGCAAGTTGATGACGAGCAAACAAAAGTTTAGCCAGTCTTTCCACGTTGATGATCAGTGAGAGAGAGATAGAGATAGAGAATGTGATGGAGGGTGAGCAAGAGAGTGCGTTGGCGGCTGCTTTGTTTAGGAGACTGTAATTGAGTCTTAATTGAATTGGCACCAAAGGAAGGATGAATGAATGGAGAGATGGAGAAAGAGAGAGTTTGAGTGAATTGGACCTCATCTCTGTCTCCACTTAGCAACGCGCATGTGGGCTTACCGTGCTGGCGAATTTCATGGCAACAGATCAGAATCAGAAACCCTTGATTTGAAAGTTTTCGATGGAATGAACACTCCCCTTGTCATTTTAATGAAAATACGGAGAGTGTTGTCTCCCATACTTTTCAAATGAGACTTGTTCCATTAGAAGTGTATTATGGAGCCCGACACAGGGAACAATGGGTTGATATGCATTTGAATGCAAGGCTAGGCAGGCTGCGCAGGTAATGCGGAACAGGCTTTCGCACTATGGCGAAGTGTCTTTTGTGTTATATCACACAAGCTTTGCAAGACCATATTGGACATGGAAATGAAACAGAAGAAAACAGCGAAGCAAGGCTTTGTGCCAAACTGAAATCTCACCATTTCAGAACACACACATCCACACACACCTTTGCCCATTTTCAAACACCATCTTGTTTGGTTTCTGTCCAGTGTTTCCACATTACTTAATCTGTGCACTTGACATCGCATCAAACATCGTTTCAGTTGACCAGAATGCAACAGGAAAGTGCAGTCAACATGTTGATGGTATTATTCTTACTTTCTTGGAAACCAACTTTTTCTGACACACAGAGCTCAATTGTTAATTTATTAGACTCCCTTGGTTTTGAATCTAAAACGTTATTTATTACCTGTTTTTTCCAGTCTCATGGATATTTTGTTATTGAGTGCCATGAGACTTAATCATAACCCTTAAACAAGAAATTCTAATGAATAACATTTTCTCCTCTACATAAAGGCAGGAATGCTTTCTTAGGAATGTCTCTTTCCTCTCCTTCTCCATCACATTTTACTTGCTAACACATAAACATATATATATTATAAACGTGTGCATGCATTCATGCATAGTATTCTTTCAAAACCTTTATATATAAACACACACACACACACACACATACAATCCTTTTGCTTTGCAGTTTGCTGTATTGACAACAAGCTGCAATTTTTTCTCCATCAATTATATTGATTACTTCAGGATGAGTGGAGGTAATGAGCTTTGGTGTTCTTTCTCTCCCCTATGATCTCCCCTTGTTCCTGTCTGCAGCCCCCCCCCCCCCCNNCCCCCCCAAGTGTCTAACTCCGCCACTCCTTTCTGAGCATGTTACATGGCAATGATTTTCTGATTAACCCTGTTAGCTGTGGGGTTCACCCACACAGTGACGCAGGGACATGGAGGAGTATAAGCATGTGGGATGCATTTAGATGTGTGATGGAGAGCTGCACTGATTGAGAGATGTGTTTTTATTAGGGCTGAAGGTGTGCTCCTGCACTGATTAAATATTTAACAGTGTTTCAGCGCAATTTAAGATTTAAAATAAAATTGATTAATAGTGGAGACATCATTGTTACATGCCTCTTCCAGGGAGATCAGAGTTTAGGGTCACCTACAGAGCAGCCCTCTTGGGGTTGGTTGGGATTTGGTGTCTTGTTAAGGGGACACAGGTGATGATTGTTAGGTTTTGAGTCTGCGTGGGCACGTTGAAAGCAGCTGAACCTTCTAAATGTCATCCTACATATGATTTGAAACATATCCAATTTACTTACTGTGCAGTTTAAGCACCCTATGTATCAATGTCTATTTTGACACTTTTGATTGAGTCCCATCTCTTATGTTCTAGGTGGTGCTGATGACAACCTGATTGAAGGGGGAGAAATGAAGTTTGTGTGTAAACCGGGAGCGAGGAACATCACGGTGATCTTCCAGCCTCTTCTCAGGTACGGCACTGAGCGAAACACTCCAGCTATATTTAATGTGGTTTCCAGATGTGCTTTTAGTTTATCGGGAATGTGATCAGCAACACAAAACAACAAGAAGTTTCTAGTCGCTCATCACTCATACACTGCTCACTGTACAAGTAAGTGCTGACGAAGTGTACTAGTGTGATGACTGTGGACTGAGTGGAGTCACAAGTAAAGATAAATTAAGTGATGAGCAAGTCATAATTTGCTGTACACGTACTGCAATGCACACTACTGCTATAGGCATGTTTAACAACAGGACTTTTTAATGTAGAACAATGTCCAAGAATATGTGACTTGACCGGATCTGATTAAAATAAAGTTAATGAACAACAGAACTGCTGTCTTTACTGGAACAGCCTAGGCAGGATTCCATTAATTTTACAAGGTCCACGTGTGAAAGTGGCCAATACTGTCATACTGGTCTGTCAGAGACGGATGACCAAGCCACTCAAGACACATGAAGGCTGGAACATGACTCAATACCAGTAAAATGTTCACTTATTATATTACATGTCCTCTTAGTGACCATTTATCGATTTCATCTTTTTTCTTTAATGTTTGGCCGGATATCGTAAATCAAACGTGATGTAATATACTGTACTTTCAGTTCAAAATGTTTTGTTGATACCATCCAGGAATTGGGATTGACTACCACCCTCGCTTTTATTTCCCATTAAATTTGAGTATCGCGCAGGGTTGTCTTTGTGGTAATGTTCTGTATGTCTGGTAGTTTTCTATACAGTGCTGATGTCCCAGGCGAGTAGTGTAAATCTAATAGTGAAGCAATTTAATTGAATTGGCCTCCATGCAGTGATACATTACCTTAGGATCCATTAAACAGAGATGTTTCCTACTTCCACACTACGGTGCTTGGCATACATTTCTACAATTTTAACATCATGGAGCATGTTTTATTGCATAGACGAAGGATAAGTGTGCCTTTTTGGCAAACTCTTTATTAATCCCTTAAATTTGTATAAAGTAGGCAGTTTAACAGATGTTTTTACTGTAAAAGCATCTTACTCAGCTGGTGGAGAGCTTTGCACAGGCCATCTGTATTATGAGTTAGCTAACTTGCTTTGTTGTTTGGCTCCACAAAGTTTTTTTTTAACTTGCAGTCAGTGAATACATTTGGAAAAAAAATCCAACACGGACAGTGCAGAACAGAAGTTTGTTCAGATTTTGTTCAAGTATACTGAAACTAACTTATGTTTATACCCTGACCACTAAATGTTGAACTGGCTACTAAACAATATGGAATGTCAGAAAATCAGCTTAATGTACTTAAGCTAGATTGCACATCAGCTATCAGATCTATTTTGCTCTTCACCACATCCCCACTGCCCTAAACTGTGTGGTCAGTTGTCATGTTACCTTTTGTTTGATTGATTGAGACTCCTTGAAAGCCAATTACCGGTTTCAGAACTATGTTTTTATGCATGTGTCACGAGCATACTTTAATGTCCTTCTTTGCAGGTGGTTGCTTGTGTATTTGTGTCGCTTTACTGATGGTTCAGGCTTGAGTCTTTCTCCCAGTCCCCCTCTCTGTTCTCACACCCCCCTCTCTTACACACACACACGCTGAAGTTCAGCCCCTGTTCACCGTGGGTCTGGCCAAGCTTTTGTCTGAACAAATGACCAAAAATAAAACGGTGACTAGCTTTCTGCCAACCTCTCCCATGTTGTCTGTAATGGTTCATATCAATCACACCAAACTGCCTCTCGCACAGGGCTCTCTCTTCTTTCTCTCCCTCCCTCCAACCTGTCCTCTCTAGACTTCTAGTGCCAATGGAGCGCTGTTTCTTGCAGATGGTTTTCTAATGGCAAAGCTCTGGCACGCTGCTGATGGATCACTACACCTCCTGCAGCCAACCATGCAACTCATGGCAGCTTTAATGACAAAAGCAGTGGGGGGTTGCAGCACTGGAAATCAGTGGTGTGTGTGGCAATGTGTGGGCGGACAAGACAACAGTGTCTTAATGTTTGATTGTGGTATACTTCTTTTTCTCTCTGAAAATCAAGTGTACTTTTTTTGTTCTTGTGTGTCTGCTTTTCAGATCTTTGTTTGTATCTGATATCCAAAGAATCACGTCTGCAGTTGCAACCCTCTGAAACTTTGATATGATGTTACATGCTCCATTTCATTCGTTAACTAGCAATGTACTTTTTGAGTTAAATATTGTGTTGTAATGTTGGACCTCAGATTCATGCGGAGCAATTTGGATTGTATGCTGCTGTCTGTGGGCTTTACTCAGGTTACTCACTTTTAATTGGCACAGGTCACCATGGTAACCTCTGCAGCACAGATAACCAGCTCCAGAGAGGGTTAACCTAAGAGCAACCCGCGTAATGACCAATCAGATCTTGTAAAGAGCTTATGTAAGAATTTCCCCAGCATTTTCAGATATAAAAATAAGGCTAAACCTCTTACTCTATTCTACTTGTGTACATTTTATCTTTTGCCTCACTGAATATCACTTTCTGCTGGCACGTTAATCTAATTCCCTTGTGGGTATTACCGTTTCATCTTATGTCATATTAAGTGCTCCACTCATGGTTCAGAGGATGTTGCATCTGATTGGCTTGTAATTAAGAACATAATGTAATGCTTAGTGAAGCCAAGTAACCCAAAGAGAGCCAGACTAATTTGAACTTGCTTCATCATACAGGCCTTTCGTCGGGGAGCAGTGGTGCAGGTCTTTGCTCATGCAAAGGTACTTCATATTATGAGATAGACACAATTACTGTTATGTCAAGCCTCAAATCAATAGCTAAGTGTCAAAAATACAAACCTTATTGTTGAGTCTGTCTATGTGTTGGTCATTTATTCAGTTTGTTAAAACTTCTTGCTGTTTCTTGTCTGTTTTAGGTTCAGCAGTCCTAGGGCTTGTAGATAACAAATGAATAAGATTTGTTCTGCCCTCACAAATATAGCAATCCAACCTGATGTGTTAGAGTGTAGAATGTATGTCTTTAAAGACGCGCACACAATATGGGGCAGACATAGGGGAGTGTTTGTGCATGTAGCAGCCAATTTAGTTTGACTCGTGGGGTCTCCTGCTGACATTTGGGTGGTATTTACACCCCTTGCTCCGGACGAGGTTGGCATTTTGAAAAGCTTCAGCAGGCCCCTAATCTTTCCCTGTTCACCATTCTCAGGATGACCAGGCATGGCCTTGCCTGTAGATGTTTGCTATGTTGTTATGTGTCTCTGTGTTGAAGTGTGTGTTTTTGTGTGTACAGGTGAAGTCCAGCAGAGTTGCTGTGTTGCCATATCTGAGTTAATTAGTTAGTGAAATGTTATCATAACCAATAGGACTCAAAGCCCAATTATGTGTTTGTAAGTGTATGTCATTGTGTGTCATATTGTCTGCATTTGTGATCCAAAACATAAAGGAGACTTTCTTGCTGGTGTTCAGATAATGTCAGATGGGTAGGTGTACTAGATTGATCTCTTCACCGCTCACAGTATACAGAGCTCTTTGTGTGCACTCACAGCAATAGGTTATTAAGAAGTACTCATGTTACAGATAGATAGATAGATAGATTCATACAAGGTCTAGTTGAAGTTGGTTCTACTGTACGTGTCCATAGTCGAGTTGAAAAGTGCGAGGTAGAGAAAAGAGTCAGAAGGTTGGAGATTGACAGAGAGCGCTCGGGGGAAGCTGAGAGGGAAGGACAATGGAACAAGCGATGAAAGGAATGAGGATTGGATAGAAAGCGAGATGACAGGAAAAGGACAGAAGGGCTCTGCCTCCCACCGCAGTAGCCTGTGGTGAAAACGAAACACACCATGATTCTGCACTAATTTGCCACTCTCATTAACTCCCCTCCTGAGCAGCACACACAGACCAAGATACACAGATAGAGGAAGAGTTAGAGGTGAAATGGAGTACCTTTTTAAAGAAGTTTTTATAAAAGTATTTCTGAGGTTACTCAAATGATTTAGCTTAGACTGGCGCTGTTGAATTCTCAAACACAACATCCAAGGAGAAAGCCTTTTTTAACATTTAGATTTTCCACAATCCTGCTGACATTTTGAAGTCCAGTATTTCTCTAAGAATGAGACTTTGCTGTGCCGAATTTCCTTATATTATAATGAAGTAAGACAAATATCTCATCTACAGCATGGTCCAGTGTAGTCACCTTTAAATAATGCAACACTGAAGGTCATAAGCCAAATTAATTGCAAAGGCTTGAAGCATGCAGTTATTATGATAGTCATCTGCATGTATCTCCAACTTTTATTGTTTACTAATGATGAGCAGACAGAAAAACAAATTTGATTATTGCTTTCTCTTTCAAAGTAGGGCCACAGTAGTCGCTGTCCATACACTCCCTACTGCAACAACGAAAATGGCACCCATTACTCAGGTATTTATGATCCATATAAATCCCGCAATTACACATTCTTTTATGATGTTGATCCACTACGCAGTTCATTAGGCAGCTGAACAGCTACATTCCCAGTAGGAGACAACGGACTAAAGCACAGGATCAAATTCTTTTCAAATACATTCCAGCAGCTACATTTGTTTGATCAGAAAAGTCATTTCTGAGATCAGTTCGTGACAAGACTGGTGTTTGTAGTTGCACACTGAGTTACCTTGTGTGTGTGACCTAATTTAAACATGCAAATTCCCACTGCGGCAGAACTGAAAATGGCAAAAATAATTTGCGGTTGAACTTTAACCTTCATTTAGTCAGGCAGCAGCTTGATAATTACTGGTAACGACTACAGTTTTCCTTCAACAATAACTTCTGTAGTCCACCTCAAAGAGGTGCCTGCACATGGGCTATTAAAATGCAGCATAGACGTCTTGTCTTAAGTCTTACTCACACATACATGCACGTACTGCTTTGCTCTGCCAGCTCCTGCTCTCTCTTCTAATCTTTTCTCACTTGTTCAAGAGGATTTTCCTCAGTAAATAGCACCCTTCCTCTCTCTCTCTTTCTAACCCACACCCATTAAA